TTGAATCCCTTCGATTTTGACCCATGTTATTCGATAATTGGATCCATTTGATTTTAACCCCTTTTTATTCGATAATTGGATCCATTCGATTTTGACCGCAACTTGTCTCGGAACTGTCACATGGGGCATTGCAGCTTGTAACCGACAGCGCGATTTTGAAAAAATGTTGCGAGAAATAGCAAGCCATGAGCCACGCAAACGGAACTCGCCAGATCTGAACTATTCTCACGGTATATAAGTAAAATAAAAATAAAATTTATCGGATAACAGTTTAGAATTATTTCACTCAACTGATTTGTTCATTTTATTTCTAGGAAAATCAACAAGGGTTTCGAATGCTCCGGCGATTCATGGTAAAACTAACCAAATTGATTTGTCTGATAGCTAATATATTTTGTGTGTCATACAATGTAGTTTAACAGGGTTATATTTTATCGTTTTTGTTACTGATAAATGATACATATTCCTGATAGTTTTATTCGATCTGATTTGATGAATAATATCATTACAAGCTTGCAATGACAGGCAAACCTTGCCCGTCATGTGCTATCAAACAGAAAGTATTCTGAATGCTGTGAATCAGTCAGCTAAATGAATCTCATGAGGTCTACAATTTGACAAGCAAACCTTGCCCGTCATGTGCTTTCGACCAGAAAGTATTCTGAATGCTGTGAATCATGCAGTCAGCTGAATGAATCTCATGAGGTCTACAATTTGACAAGCAAACCTTGCCCGTCATGTGCTATCACTATCAACCAGAGAGTATTCTGTATTCTGTGTATCAATCAGCTGAATGAATCTCATGAACGCTAATAACATAGGCGAAACACTGCCCGCGTCATGTCCTATCGAAATTTCATTCGAGACTAGTAAAAAATATGACTTCTATTGAAAGCAAACTAAATATCTCGATATATAAGCATATAACAGCAGCTGATTGTTTTAATAACTAGAAAGCGCATAGCCATACGGCTCTAGCTCGACGAACCATTAAATCTTTACACAATTACCCAAGTCATTCTGTGTCTCACTGGGCATTCCCAAAGTTTTCAAGTTACTAGTGCCCAGTTCATTCATCTGCACGCTACTTCGAGAGGACCTGATAAGAGGAGGCTTCGCACATCGCCCACAAACAATTCTCTTGACCACGATTCGGAACTCGGAGTTTAAGCAAGTGTAGACATACGGATTCAAAGCACTGCTAGTGTACTGTAAGAGCTTTATGATATATACTGCTACAATCGGGAACGAAGCTCCAGATGAAGAACAGTAAACAAGAGCGAGGTTGGTCAGCAAAAACGGCGCCCAACAGACCAGGAATCCACCAATCACCACCCCGATARCCTTTGCTGCTTTCATTTCTGTGACGTAGCTGAATTTATTCTTTGGTTGATTGCCGCTGATGACGTTGATGACGCGCGCATGGCGGCGCGCAACAAGGAATATACACGAGTAGGTGAACATCATGATGATAGTTGGGATAAAGAATGACGTGACTGCAACGATTACAGGGTATTCATAGCGCGTGAACCGGAATCTCAAACTCGCCACAAGGATTGCAAAACTCCATGAAAATGCAATCGTTGCTAAGACTCTTGGTGGAGACAGCATAGTGTGGTAGGAAAAGGGACGAGTGATCGCTAAATACCGATCACAACTAACGAATGTCAAGTTCAAAATAGATGCAGTCCCACATGCAATGTCAAAAACAAGCCATACTCTGTACGCTAGTGATTTGGGGTCAACAAGGGACAGCGTAATGAGGATCCATACTGGAATAGAAAATGTAGCGACCAGGAGATCGGCCGTCGCCAAGGAAACGATGTAGTAGTTGGTAACTTTTTGAAGCCGCTTAACGGACAGGAAAGCAACCCAGACAAGAATGTTACCAAACAAGGCGAAGATCAGAAGGACGACCAGGACAAAACACGAAGCGGTTCGCGCGGTTTGTATCTTGGGAGGTAGCTGTGGCTTTGAGCTGTTTGTTATCGAGCCGTTGATAAGTGATACCGTTGTCATGGTAAAATAAGGTGGCTCTGAGAAGACAGTTATTCGTTACTATGCAACCAATAATTCTCTTTACTTTTTGTGTTTTTGCTCGTTCCTGACACGATTTTTTGAAATTCTCGATGTTGTTACTGCATGTCGTTGTGCACGTATCCGAGCTTTTGTTCTGTAATTGTTGTCCTTGCTGCTGCTATTGCCGTTGCTGCTGTTGTTGTTACTGCTGCTGCTGTTGTTACTGCTGCTGCTGCTCTTGCTCTTGCTATTGTTGCCTGCTGTTGTTGCCAGATGTTGTTACTGCTGTTGTTACTGCTGCTGCTGTTGTTACTGCCGCTGCTCTTGCTCTTGCTAGTGTTGCCTGCTGTTGTTGCCAGATGTTGTTACTGCTGTTGTTACTGCTGCTGCTCTTGCTCTTGCTAGTGTTGCCTGCTGTTGTTGCTAGATGTTGTTACTGCAGTTGCTGTTGTTACTGCTGTTGCTGTCGTTGCTGCTGTGGTTGTTGTTGTTGCTGTTGCTGTGGCTGATGTTGTTCTTGTTGGTGCCGCGATCTGTTATTATATCCTATCGTATCCGCTTTTGTACTGTACTTTTCACTTATCATATCCCAAGAATATAGCGTCGTGTAGCTTAGCTTCCCTCAATTACCAACAGCGTTTTTCCTGCCGAAAAAACACAAAAACGTCTTAAGCTTCGGCACTTTCAAGAACATCGTAAACACCTTTGACAGACAGGAAATAAAACCTTGTCCAAACACTAAGAGAACAAAGGAAATTAAACTTTGACTCTAATTTTCTTGTATACAGACATGTAAATACGCAAGGTCTAGCTCTTTGAAGTACTACAAGAGAGTGAGAGCGTACTTTCGTATTTCCCATATCCAGACTTAAGAGGGTCTCTTTAAGAGATACTTATATCAAACAAACACAACTTTCAGAATCAATTGAATTCGAAGAAGCCTGAGTAGGATGGGGAACTGAAAAGGATCAAATTTCTTGTAAATATACTTGATTATTCTATTAAAAAACGAAAAATGACTTGATCTTTATGTACCTTTGGCAAAATTTTTTCCCATTTCAGACCACGTGTCATTTCCTTGAGAATGATAACCTTTATTGGATTGAAATCTTTAAGTCAAAGAAAATCTAGCTTAATTTTAGTTTTTAATTATCGTTAATGCTGACACCAGGAAGCAATTCCGCAAACGATGAAGAGTACACAAAAGGCTGATAGCAACCAAGAGATCTCGCACAAAGCGCACAAAAAAAANAAAAAAAAAAAAAAAAAAAAAAAAAAAAAAAAAAAAAAAAAAACGATCACGATCTTATCTATGAACCCAACACAGAACACAAAAATCAAATGTTATAGATATTAATCAATTACATTAGTTTGACCACCTTTTTCAATCATTGCTGACGACCTATCAATATTATCGATATCCTGAACAATCTTTGGGATGAGTCTGTCTACAATATAAGTCAGGGCATAGATAAAACTCACAGATCAAATTGGGATTTAACGTGCGTTAAGTTTTGTGGGTGTTTCTTGAATAAATTTTGTTTTGCGAGATATTGTTTAACTCCAAATTCATTATCTTGGCTATTTTTTATTGTCTACCTGCATCGGGTACCTTGTTACACCAAGAAAGATCCGCTTTTGTGGAGTGATGAGGCCTAGGAAAACCAGAGAACCCGGGAAAAAATCCCCGGAGAGACTTACGAAACTCTACTCACATGTAATAACGAGTCTAGGAGATGAATCTAGCTTTGCAGAGGTGATCAAGAATATAGACAGTGCAGCCTTTAGACCACTCGTAATTCCTACTGAAGCTAAGACCCCGCTACTCGACTGATAAATAACGTCTAAACTATAATATATACATATTTAGTTAGCATACGACTGTTTCCTTAGAGGCTTCGATGTAAAGGAAAACAGCCGGTCTGAGTGTTTTGTGCGACAGTCTGGCGCTATTTGCCTTCTAAGATAAAATAAGATCAACTCCTTAGGAAGGATCGTTGACGATGCGTTTATCGTAAGAGGTTAGTCAACAGTTTGTGCAAACAAATAGACATTTAACGCTTCTGTAACCAAAGGTGATTTCAAATTGCAGTTCCTCTTGTCGTAATTAATTGAATTGATTCCTGTTAAGTTGCTTTAAAGCTGGAGGTTTCTTTTAAGCTCTCGTAGTTATTTCCTATTTCCTTTGCTTTCTTTTCTTTCTTTTTTTCCCTTCCACTTCTATAATACTTCAATGATGATCAAAAACTAAAAGAATCGCCAACAATATATGTAAATATATAAACACGAATTAAAATGCTTGGTATGAACTAAAACTTTTGCCTTTCTTTCTCTTCTTTTTGTGTCATATATCCCAGTACTGAGCACAAAAACACCTATTTCTTACAAGGTTATATTTGTTTTCAGGTAACGACTAGTTTTGGAACTAGCTTAGACTGCGTCGGTGTTTTTTACGAGTTGAAACAAATGTGTCGTAGTAGATAATATTATCTACTACGACACATTTATATTATTTTCAGTTTTTCCTTTTCCTTTTTTCTTTTTCTTTTCGTACGTGTTTTAATTTGCCTTCGCAAAGCAAGGCTAGACTTTGTCACTTTACTGAACTGATTGAGTAATTTCAGTTCTTTTAATCATCTTCGTTTCACTTTTTATTATTTCTCTTATTCAGTTTACTTTTGTCAGTCGTGTGTTATGACGTCCGCAGTACTCCTGTCATATGAATATATATAACTAATTCAATTAGTTATATTCATACGACAGTTATTAATTGTACTACTTACATTGCTTTTATAATTCACATATAGTCGGCATACTCATAATACATGATCGCGACAAGCTTCGAATCATCTCGTATTTCAGATAATGTTGCTAAAAGTTCTTAGTGCAATTAAGAGCTGAGCTTTAAAGAGCTTTTACTAAAGCCATTAGTGACCCAAGAGACGAAGGGTATATGTTACATGAAACACTGGTTGTTCTGCTGGGCCCAGTTGTTCAAAGCTGAATTAGCACTAATCCAGGATTAACTCTATAGGTCTTGTTAGGAGTTAACCCAGGATTAGCACTAATCGAGCTTTGAACCACTGGGCCCTGCATGGTGGCGATATTTTTGAAGTAATTCTGGCGTCTAGTTTTAATAATGGCTTTTCCATCTTCCCATCCGTCCATCCGTCCGTCCATCCCCCATCCGTCCGTCCGTCCATCCAT